AATGAATGTGCAGATGAGCTGGCCTCCCGAGGAGCGTCAGTTGCATGGTCTGAATTTGTAACGAGTGTACCCCACACTGATGCGGTGGATGCCGAGACCTTCCTGATCCGACGCAGGGCGCGGAGGGCCCTGGCGGAGGCCATCCGTGCGGACCCGTGGACCGAAAATCGTCCCTCGGCCCCCCGCCCCGTTCGGATCCCGAGACTCGAGCTGGCCATGAGAGCCTCACAGCACGAGTGGAGAAGGCTCGGCACGAAGTTTTACTGCCGCAAATGCAAGGTTTTCGTGAACCGCTCGAGGTTCTTCGCGGCAGCCCCGACAGTGTGTGTTAACAGAGCCCCTCCCCCTGGAATCGCGGCCTTAAACGGCCGACGGGTCCTGGGAGGGCAGGTTTTAGACGAGTCCCACGCCTTACAGTACTGGGGGGAATTCGAACTCGTCGTTTGCAGTATGTGCGGTCTTACGGCCACCACAGACCCCAGGCACCTCTGCAAACCGTGTGTTGCACCCACCCCGAAGGGGAGGCAGAATCTGGCGAGGATAAGGAGAGGCCTTCACCCTTGTGTGAAGGGCCCCCCCAAGATTGTTACAGAGGCCAATCTTGAAGACCTCCGCCAGTAATTCACGTGTGTCGACGTTCGTTGTCGTCAGCCCACTAGTCCACTAGTCCTTCTCCTCCTCCGCCTCCTCCTTCCCCTCCTCCTCCTCCTCCTCCTCCCCCTCCTCCTCCTCCTCCTCCTCCTCCTTCTCCTCCTCCTCCGCCCTTGCGTTTTGTACGACACGTGGCCCCCACTGATTCGGATACGGTTTGGCACAGTGCGCCTGTGCCCTGGGCGTCTCACACGCTCGCCGTGCTGTGGCCCAGGCTGAAACGACAGATCTCCAGCTGCGGGACGCGTTGGGCGTCAGGAAAGCAACCCCCACGCCCACACACGCACGCGCACACGCCGCAGCCACGGATAGAATTGAGCGGCGGAGCGGAACAACGGGGTCGATTGCGCGAGCATTCGCGCGCAAGTTCTTCGCGTAAGGTCGCGCGTGCGTGCCCTCTTCTCCACGCGGTGTGCGGCGCTGGCGAAGCACGTAAGCCGCGGCGTAAGGTCGCCATGCCATCTTGCGTACGACTCAGCTCTTTTGGTCGCTCAATTGAGAGAGTTGCTATGAGCTCCAGGAGCTCCAAGCCAAGACAGGAGTTTGCCGCAGACAGCCAGGGCAACCGACAGTGGCGCTGGCCCTCTGCGGCAAACGTGGGATCCGACGCTGCGACAAATCTGAAACATCGCGAGAGAAATCACGCCCAGAGCGCTGGGCGTCACCTTTCTGCGGCACTTCTCGAGCTGCTTTGATGTGTGATGGTCCCGCGGACCAGATCCCAGCGAAAACTTTCGGTGCGGAAAAGAGCCTGTTTTTCTTTAGATCTAGGCAAGCTTACTTGCATGGCGTTCGCCGCCCCCCTCTCCCCCCTCGCCCCTCTTCAATCGAACCTGAGCGTGCAAGTGCCTTTCGACTTGCGTGTTTTCCGCACGTCGAATTGTTTTCGGCTTGCTTCAGACTCAGCCCCCCCCCCGTCCATGCAAGTAAACCTGCCCGAATCCAAAGAAAAACGGGCACAGAGATGCAGCGCCCGGATCTCAGGGAACGCTTCGGCCCACCTCTGGACCAGGGCCGGGCGGCAGACCACCGTGGGGTCCGGCGCGGGCGCCCCCGGGCCCCCGAGGAGCCTCGAGGGGACAGCGTGGGGCACCCCCACAGGGCCTCTACGCTCCAGGCGGTGCTTCAGAAAACACAAGTTTTCGGCCAGAGTCTCGATCAGTCTTAATGTTTCAGTGTAAATCCTGACATTTGACTAGACATTCTGGGTTTGATTTCAAATTCTGAGACTATGAATTTCTTAACCCATGATTTCTAAAGCATTTCGCAGGGTGTACCATGCTGCGGGCCCCGTCCCCCTCCCCCCCCCATACCACCGGAAGTTGCGCGTGCCTGTTGTACGCGTGGAACCTGGAATTCTCTAAGCGGGTGGAAGCGAGAATTCTTTTTGTGGCTGGACCTGTTTGGTTCGCACACGTTGTCGATTAGCGTCGGCAGTCCAGCACAAACGCAATTGCTATATTAAGGCGGTGTGCGATGCTTACCTGGAGCATTTTGCTGCGGTAGACATCGTGAGGCGTTTCTTCTTCGACCGAGGAGGAGGGGGGGTGTTCAACCATGTGACACCGCAGCCTGCGCTGGCCATCCCGAATTCCTTCCGACGCCGTGTCTGCAACATAGCGAGTCTGTAGCACGTGCGATGCAGTTATTGTTGAGTCGATACCATGAGCATGGGCTGTCCAATTACCAGCGGACGAACAGCATCAACCAGCCTGAGACAGCTTGCTCGCACCTTCGCGCGTGCCGCTCGTGCCCCAGGCTCTTGAGCCATGCCCGCCTCGTCTGTGCGAGTCTGAACGCATCCCCCTTGGAGGGGAGCTGCTTCTCTATCGAGCTCCTTGGGCCGGGGCGGGCTGGCGCACCCCAACGGGCGGGCAGGGAGGGCCCGGCGGGCGGGACCGGCAGGCGGGCTCGGCGGGCGGCTGGCCAGTGGACGGCCCGGGGCGGGGGGGCCCTGGCGGGCGGGCCCTGGCGGGCGGGCAGGGCGGGCGGGCCCCGCCGGGCGTGCCGAGCGGGCGGGCCCTGACGGGCGGCACGGGAAGGCGTCCCCCAAGGGTTGGGTCGGTGTGGGCGGGGGCGTGAGCCGCGCGGACGGCGAGGAAGGTCAACGCCCCGCCAATGTCGGCACAGCCATCTCACGAAGCGTGCCCCATAAGGCGCTTCACCTACGGCCCCCGCGCGTGCATGCGCCCCCCCCCGCCCACTCACCCATGTCGGCACATCCCTCACACGGATCGCGCATCGAGAGGCCTTTCACCAACGTTACATGAAGTCATTGCGGTGCGGGTCCCTCGCCAGGCCAATTCTCTCCGAAGTCGCTGCAAGAACCGCTGCAGAGCCTTGAGACAGCACCGTAAATGTTGGGACCTGGTAGCCTGAATCGGGATCGGTCGCCGCGGCCCAGGTCGCGCGGCTCCTCCTGTTTCGTGCCCCGTGGGGCTGGAAGGTAGCCTCGGCGGTTGCAATATGGCAGACGGTCAGCGAGGCAGCACTGCCCACGGTGAGGGGATGCGCAGACTGCGGTGCCACTGCTGCGGCCCACAGACTTGCAAGTGCTGAGTGTGGTGAGCGGGACGAGCAACGGAAACAGTGGTGGTCACCTCGCTGATCTGGACGGGAAGTTGGGAAATTGTGCCAACGGGGTGCGGGATAGTAAGCGACGCGAAGCGTGGCGCTGTTTCAGCATATGTTCGCCAACAGCACCAATCATATGCAAGTCCGGCCGCAGTATCGGCTGGTTCTTGACCAAAGGCAGAAGGGAGTGCACAGCGACGCGATCAGCGAACACGAGCTCTTTGCCACATACACGCAACCCAGCTGAACCTAATTGCTGGGGATGCTTCCCCCAGACCGCTCTCAGGAGGAGGAGGACCTGGAGGGGTGGCGAAACACGGTTTTGGCGGTTTGGTTGAGCAGCTAGCCCATAACGTTGCATATTCCGCAATGCAGGTGCATGTTGGTGGGCGAAGGCGATCCAACCTTCTTGTGTACAGAGCATGGCTTGGCCAAGGACTGCGCAGTATTCGCAACACGTGGTGGCTGGGTTCAGTTGTTTCTCCTGCGGCCCATTCCCCTGAACTCGTCATGCAATCTTACAGCCACATTCCTGGAGGATCGAGCATAGAGGAAAAAAAACTGGCTCAGATGGACACCCATCAAAAGCAGCACCATACTCTCCGTCATCAGCATTATCTCCGTCACAGTCACCACCATTCGCCGCATCATGATGATCAACACCATCGATCATCGCCATCATCAGCATCATCCTCCTCATCATCAGCATCGTCATCAGCATCATCATCAGCATCAGCATCATCATCATCATCAGCAGCATCAGCATCATCATCAGCATCAGCAGCATCATCATCGGCATCATATGTATCATCATCATCCTCATCATCAACAACAGCATCATCAGCATCAGCATCAGCATCATCGTCATCATCACCGTCATCAGCACCATCAGTATAACCATCATCACCACACATCACTAGGAGCGCTCGTGGCGGACAAGGCCCTGGTCAAACAAACAAGTAAGCACCATCCGAACTACAGTTTGGGCGTTAGTTAAGGAATGTGCCCAGGAGGCTTGAGAACCTGGAGGGCTCCTCATCTGATGAGGGTGGTGGTGATTCCCATGTCCCAGCCACGATTGTAGTTCACGGGCTTCCAGACCCTGGGCTCCGTATCCAAAGGATCTTTATCCAATGCCCTTGCTTGACTGTCAAGTCTTGACCACTTTCCCAGAGCCAGCTTTTCGTCCCGAATCACTTTTTGACGGTCCCAGGCCCGTTGAGGGCCCCTAGAGGCCGAAAACTGCCAGAAGTTGCACAAGGCACCTACGGCACTCCGTGTTGAGCCGCGGCCCATCGGGGGCCGTAGCGTATACCACAAAACCCACGCCAGATTTCCTGGTATTCTCTAAGCCCCGTGGGGGGCGTAGGTGGGGTGGTGTCGTTGCTTTTCTGGTCCATCTTCCTCAGCGGCCCGGGGGATGCCCATGGCGCCAGCCGAGCAGCCCCGAGAGCGTCTCCGCCCTGAGCTTCGAGCCCCCACCTTGATCCATCCATCCTTATCCGATGCCCTCACCGTACCGTTCGGGACAGCCCCAGACGCCTCCGGGGCCGCTCCCGGGACGCTCCCGGGACAGCCCGGGTAAGCCCGGGACGCTTCCGGGACGCCTCTGGAAGGCACCCCGAGGCTGAGAATATCCGTCGAGAACCGACGAGCATTGTGCGAAAGCTTCGGAACATTGTTTCGGAGTCTCGGCTCTCTGGGAACCGCCGTCGTCATCACCGCCCCGCTCCCCCACCACCCTCTCTTTCTGCCTCGGGGGAGCCCTGCCCCAGGACAGCCGCTCGGCCAGGCACCTGCCCGAGCCCGCGCGGGGCCGCCGCGCCTGCCTGCAGGAGCGCCCCAGCCCGCTCTCGCGGCGCCCCTGGGGCAGTAGGGGTGGCTGCGCGGCGCGTAGACCTCCCCCTCGTCCGCCTCCCTTCCTCCCTCCTTTGCTCCATCCCTCCTCCCCCCCTCCTCCTCCTCCTCCTCCTCCTCCTCCGCCTCCTTGCCTCCCTCCTCCCTCCTCACTCCCTCCCTGCCTCCCTCCTCCGCCTCCGCTCCTCCCCTCCTCCTCCCGTCCTCCTCCTCCTCCTCCTCCTCCTCCTCCTCCTCATCCTCATCCTCATCCTCATCCTCATCCTCATCCTCCTCCTCCTCCTCCTCCTCCTGCTCCTCCTCATCCCCTCCTCATGTAGTGTTCGCTGCTGGCCTGGAGCCCCTTCGTTGCACGCTGCGGTGCGGCACCAGCGTGGTGATGCGCTGGCCTCGCAGGCAATGCGCTCATCATCTCACGATGTGTTGTGGTGGGGCAAAAGTCATGCGAGGATGAATGCAACCGGCGCCATTGACAGACCCTGGGGACGAGGCATGCAATTCGGGCGATGTCGCCCAGTTTCGGGCCCAGGGACCATCACAGATCGATACGGCGCGGAAAATGCCGCAGAAAGCACTAACGCGCTACATCGGCACAGTGTGGCGCGTTCCACTGTGAAAAACCATTCCTGCATCGCCGCAGTCGCCTCCACAGCTCCTCCAGTTGCGTTGGCCTTTTCCGGTCACGGCACGCATGCCATTTCACATAACCGATAAGTTGTTCGGTGTGTTATATCTTGCCGATTTTGCCTTCGCACCTGTTGCGAGTCATAGCGAATGCGATTAGGAATCGCATACGCTATGACCCGCATACTTTGAACGGCAATTGATTCCCCAAGCGGTCCGAAAATTAGCCTGGCGAAGGACCCAACCATATGCAGTTGAGAGTACCGCAATTGTGAATATCTTTTTCGGTGGCGCTCCCTATGGGGCCACGAGCCGTATGAGGGGTGTGCCGAAATGCGTGGCAGTGTACACAACACGAACGAAGACGATAGGTCCGAATATGGAAGCTTGAGCGCGTGCGAGTCGGATCGCGAGCGAGTCTGATTATGAATGAATCTGCGCGCGATTGATTCTATTCGCATGAATGCGTGCATGGATACGCCCAGTGTAAATGTATGTATACGACTGTGAACAGTTTGGGTCTGCGTGACTCTCGGTACTCGTGACTCTGAGCGTCGCCTCTGCAGGGGGCTTCCCTGGGAACCCCGACGGCAGCGCCCGCGCGCCGCGACGCCCATGTCGGCACGCCACACACCTGGTGTGCGGGACGCATGCGGACGGCAGCACTGGGGCCTTCGGTGGAGCTCCCTGTGGGGCCACGAAACGTGTGAGGGGTGTGCCGAAATGGGTGTGCGGGACGCATGCGGACGGCAGCCATGGGGCCTTCGGTGGAGCTCCCTATGGGGCCACGAAACGTGTGAGGGGTGTGCCGAAATGGGTGTGCGGGACGCATGCGGACGGCAGCACTGGGGCCTTCGGTGGAGCTCCCTATGGGGCCACGAAACGTGTGAGGGGTGTGCCGAAATGGGTGTGCGGGACGCATGCGGACCGGCGGGACGCATGCGGACGGCAGCTGGGGCCTTCGGTGGAGCTCCCTGTGGGGCCACGAAACGTGTGAGGGGTGTGCCGAAATGGGTGTGCGGGACGCATGCGGACGGCAGCCATGGGGCCTTCGGTGGAGCTCCCTATGGGGCCACGAAACGTGTGAGGGGTGTGCCGAAATGGGTGTGCGGGACGCATGCGGACGGCAGCACTGGGGCCTTCGGTGGAGCTCCCTATGGGGCCACGAAACGTGTGAGGGGTGTGCCGAAATGGGTGTGCGGGACGCATGCGGACGGCAGCACTGGGGCCTTCGGTGGAGCTCCCTGTGGGGCCACGAAACGTGTGAGGGGTGTGCCGAAATGGGTGTGCGGGACGCATGCGGACGGCAGCCATGGGGCCTTCGGTGGAGCTCCCTATGGGGCCACCGAAACGTGTGGGGCCTTCGGTGGAGCTCCCTGTGGGGCCACGAAACGTGTGAGGGGTGTGCCGAAATGGGTGTGCGGGACGCATGCGGACGGCAGCACTGGGGCCTTCGGTGGAGCTCCCTGTGGGGCCACGAAACGTGTGAGGGGTGTGCCGAAATGGGTGTGCGGGACGCATGCGGACGGCAGCCATGGGGCCTTCGGTGGAGCTCCCTATGGGGCCACGAAACGTGTGAGGGGTGTGCCGAAATGGCGTGGGGCCTTCGGTGGAGCTCCCTGTGGGGCCACGAAACGTGTGAGGGGTGTGCCGAAATGGGTGTGCGGGACGCATGCGGACGGCAGCCTGGGGCCTTCGGTGGATGGGGCCCGCTCCCTATGGGGCCACGAAACGTGTGAGGGGTGTGCCGAAATGGGTGTGCGGGACGCATGCGGACGGCAGCACTGGGGCCTTCGGTGGAGCTCCCTATGGGGCCACGAAACGTGTGAGGGGTGTGCCGAAATGGGTGTGCGGGACGCATGCGGACGGCAGCACTGGGGCCTTCGGTGGAGCTCCCTGTGGGGCCACGAAACGTGTGAGGGGTGTGCCGAAATGGGTGTGCGGGACGCATGCGGACGGCAGCCATGGGGCCTTCGGTGGAGCTCCCTATGGGGCCACGAAACGTGTGAGGGGTGTGCCGAAATGGGTGTGCGGGACGCATGCGGACGGCGGAGGAGAGGAGAGAGGAGGAGAGGAGGTGGGACGCGGGGCGCTGTCTCTTCAAAACGAGGACCCAACACCACAGGATGGTTGGGAACTAAATATGGAATCGGCGATTACTTATGTAGTTTTCGGGCCGCTTGGGGGATCAGTTGTCGTTCATAGTAAGCTCGCGAATTTTGTGTCTGGATTTGTCCGGGAGCCTGTGACGACAATCGACAATCGCATCTTGGGAAGTGAATCTCGATTTGCTACGCGAGGTGGCCACAAAGCAACTCCTTATGGTCATCCTGGCGAGCAGCGCCGTCTTCCTTGAGCGTGTAGTTATCGCCCGTCTGCTTGCCGAATGTCAACAGCAGGTCTTTGGGCGCGTGTTGCCGTAGATCGTTGCCAATGCTCGTGCGTTTCGCCTGGGTCGGAAACATCATTGATCTGCCTGGCGTGTGGTTGCGACTCCAGCGTCTAGCCGTGCACAACGTGAAGTACGTTCCTCTCAAGGTTGCCATCCTCGCTCAGCTTTACTTGACCGACATACGCGCACGCTGTCGTGAGCGGCAGGTGCTACTTGCTGGAGTCTCTGCCCCCAGCCTGATCCACGCGTCTCATCAAAAGGTGGGCCAACTGATTGGCGACTAGCGACGCGCTCGACCATCACGTGCATTGTTCGCGCCTCGGACTTGCGACTTTCGTTGGTGGTATGTTCAGATCTGTTGCCTCTCCTATGTCACCTGCGGTTTCACTCCTGCCTCGTCGTTGGGTAGTGTTTATGGCGGCGCCTTGTGTACACGCCAACTTGTCCGACGCTGTATCTTTGGGGCGCCATGCTTTAGATGCCAGTTTGGGAGCGCCCACCTTGTAGACGCCCAGCGATATTGACAGAAGCTTGCGTTGCTCAACGGCGCGGTGATACCATTCCCCAATCAGAGCTTGCCTCTGTAGGGGTCCTAGCGGATTAAAGGCTTAGGTGAGGTTGGTCGCCGATTTCGGTGGCCGGGCCCGGGTGCCCGGGTGCCCGGGTGCCCAGCGGTGCCCGGGTGCCCGGATGGCCGGTGAGGTGCGTGGCCGATTTCGGTGGCCGGGCCCAGGTGCCCGGGTGCCCGGGTGCCCAGCGGTGCCCGGGTGCCCGGGGGTGCCCAATAGCCCAGTAGCCCTATAGCCCTATAGCCCTATAGCCCTATAGCCCTATAGCCCTGTATCCTTATAGCTCTATATCCCTATAGCGCTAATAGCCTTATATCCCTATAGCCTTGCCTTATATCCCTATAGCCCTATAGCCCTAATACCCCTGTAGCTTTATATCCCGATAGCCCTAATAGCCTTAAACAATCTGATTGGGTTTTTTCTCCGGTATCATTGTTTCAAGACGATCTAGGCATTCCCCTACTGTCACCAACGACCTTTCAATTGTTATCAGTCGGGCGGGGGCAGCCGGAAGGTTTGGCTGGGGTCGACATGTAGCCTCCCCTTCACAATTGCTGCGCCTTTCTAACAGCCAGCTTCGAGATTTCACATCATTGGTGCTTGCCCAACGCAAGGGAATCGTGATTGATTCTGCCCACCGCCTTTGAGCGCTCACACTTCGCCAAGCCAGTGCGGGGGGGAGATGGCGCGATTGTCGGGACTTGCAGCGTAAGAACCTTACCGAGTGGAGGCTAGGAAGCCGATATCGATCATTTGCCCGAGGGGGGATCTGCTGATCTGCGCTTTGGGCGCTGGTCTGTGCTTGCCTCTGCCAAAGTAAGTCTCCCAGGAGGTGCTGACTCAGGCAGAGCACGTTTACGACGACGTCGAGACCGAGGTGAGCGGGCTACGCATGCTCTCTTCGTGCATTCTCGCCCTCCTCGTGTTTGTTGTTGTTCGTAATTCTCTTGATTGTCCCCCGCGCTTGTCTCCAAACGCATCGCCAGTCGAGCCCCAGCAAGTCACAAGTCTTCGTGATGAGGTGCGCAATTTGCTAGGAGCCACCTTCACTCAGACGCGCTCTGTGCTTGCATAATGGGCGGGATTCAGACTGGTGTGTGACAGTCATTTGTTATATGCGTGCTGGTTTCGGGGGAAGCGATCGCATATCCAGCTGAATGCAGCAGACCCCGCCACCGTGCCAGCGTAACGTTGAAATGCATCTACGATGTTTCCACGAAGTCATCCCGAGCAGGCTCGGTAGAAACATGTTTGCGCAACATGTGAAGCAGCTCTACAACATTTCAGTGCGACGTGGCGATAACATCTCATTATTGTTGCACTGTCTCTAGGGGTATTCTTGGAAGCCTCCTGGGGATTATTTCGGGTCGTCTCGGGGGCCCCTTGGGAGCTTCTTTGGGCCGGGAGAGTCGGAGGGGGTCTTGGGGACCACGTCGGCGTCTTACGGCTATCTTGAGCGCGACGGTTCTATCGAGCTCTCCAGAAGAGGATCGGTCATACCAATGCCAATGTTTGTACATCTAGACGAGCATCCAGACTATGTAGGAGCCTTTTTTCAGGCAGTATTGCCACGTCCTCTGGCAGTATTGGGATACTGGCCATCTTGAGGCTTTTTCAGGCCCTCTAGGCCGCCTTGGGGCTTACACTCCCAGGAAGTATTTGCCTGTAGGAGTTCTCACTTGTCTTGCGAAAGGCGCTGGATGGGCATGGCGGGGTTTCGGCTGGTGCCCAGATGGTGGGCGCCTCGTGGGCGCTTCGCGCTTAGGGGTATGTCGAGGTTTCGGCCTGTGCCCGCGCCTGTGGGCACCGAGGAGGAGGAGGAGGAGGAGGAGGAGGAGGAGGAGGAGGAGGAGGGATTTTTACCGGTCCGGCGAAAACGCTGGTTATTGGGACCGTCCGCCCCCCCCCCCTCCCCCCGGATAACTTGACCTTGCCGGCTGCGTAGGTCCGACGGGGGTACGCCGTACTGGTGCGCACGGGTATACGTGGGATTGCCCAGAGCGACAAGGTCAGGTTACCTGCCGGCGCCTCCCCTCTTCCCCTCTCCCCCCCTCCCACCAGATACCTTAGGCCATCGCAGGAAAATCATATAAGCGATCTCTTCGTCGGCGCCCCGCGCTGGGAGGGTATGACAAGGTTTCGCTTGGTGCGGCGCCTCGTGGGTGCCCCGCGCCAGGGGGACATGCCGAGGTTTTGCCTGGCGCCCGCTCGTGGGCGCGCCCCACTCTCGGGGGGGCTGCCGAGGTTTCGCCTGGTGCCCGCCTGGTGGTCGTCCCGCGGGGTATGCCCAGTGCCCTCCCGTGGGTGCCTCGTGGGCGCCCCGATGGCTTGTACCGCGTGTGTTGCTCCACGCAACCACTTAGCGTGCACCACATAGCTTGCACCACATAGCTTGCACCACACAGCCTACACCACATAGCCTGCACCACGAAGATTGCACCACACAGATTTCGTACCATAGCTTACACCACTTAGCTTGCAGCACATAGCTTACACCGCATAGCTTGCAGCACATAGCTTACACCACACCGCATAGCTCGCACCACGCATATTGACGTACCCATGTTGCACCTAGCGTGCACCACATAGTTGGCACCGCATAGCCACACAGCTTACACCACATGGTTGCACTACAAAGCCTACACACTGCACATCAAGAGTGCAATAACGTATTGCTTGGGGTCCTCGCTGGTTTGCAGGGTCTTTCAAAGTGAGCATCGTCGAGTGTCAAGTACACAGCTCCCAACCCCACCCGCAACTTCATTGACAGCCTTCGAGCCAGCCTGCTACGTCCGTTTCCTGTTGACTGTGCCCGTAAACGGTCACTCATGCTCCCTCGTTTGCGACACCAGGCTGCCAGCGTTGCTGCGTCGATATTGTCAGGCCTTGCACGGCATGACCAGGTCATCCTTCTCATCCACGGTCTCGGCGTCTTCGTCCTCCTACTTGTTTGGCCCGTTCCCCTTCACCATATTTTCCCACCCTCCACTCCACATATATTCCCTCTCCCTCCCTCCCTCTATCCCTCCCTCCCTTTTGTTTTAATCACCCTCCCCAGACCACCGCCTCCAAATCGCTCATCACATTGCTCCCTGCCTCCCTCTTTTCCTGTTCGCGCTGCTCTTCCTGCCTTCCGCCAACCCTCGCCCTCCTCTTCCTCCCCCGCCTCCCCGCCATCGATGTCTCCCATGCCCGTCCGTGGGGGCTGAGCGTGCCCAGCTCTCGCCCCAGGCAAACGGCAGAACACGACGCACGATGTCGAACGGCACGTCCGTGACCGCCGCCAGGACCTGGGGACGTCGCCACGCGGCCGCGCGTGTGGATCCCACCTTGCTGCTCAACAGGGGGGGGGGGGGGGGTAAGGGAGGGAGGGGAGGGGACCTCGAGGGAGCGGGAAGAGGAAGGAGGGAGTGAGGGAGCGATGGGTGGGGGCTCGTGGGAGGACCTCGAGATCCAGGCGGTGCATGCTTTTTTGGCACGGGGCGTTTTCGCCCAGTTTCGGGCCTGGGGACAATCACCAATCGGTGTGGCTCTAGAAATGTAGCCTAGAGATGGCGTCCAGGGCTCAAGTCGTGACGTGTCGCGATGTTGCTGGCTACTTTCGCCGAGAGGGTGGTGCAGCTCGCAGGTGGGAGAAGGCGGTCAGGGCATGGGAGGCGTGCTGAAGGCATCCGCTTCCGTGCACATGTTTTCACTCATTGCTCACGCGCTGTGGCTGGCACAGGGCTTCTGGACTGGACTGGACTGGACGGATCTCGGGGAACGAGGAAAGCGGCAGGGAGCGGGAAGGGAGGGGGAGGAGGGAGGAAGGGATGCGGGAGTTGGAGAGCAGGAAGGGCCCTGGGGTGAGGCCTCTGTCCCAACGGGCCTGCTCGCAGAAGGCTTCCCGCTTGATCTCGACCAGCGCAAACGGATCTTGGCATGTGCGTGCGTGAAGCAGATCACTGACACGTTTGTTCTCTTTGAGGGGGACGCCCCTCACTTCTCTCAGAGGTTCAGCATTGCTCCCGACAAGCTGCATCGTCGCATTGGGTGTTCATGCTACCGCCTCTCGGGGCTTGGAATCGAACATGCAATTAGCTCAGGGTAGGCTGGTCTTTGGTGGGCAGGGCAAGTCGCAGGAGCAGTGATTTGTTATGGGTGGTTGGATTGGAAGTGACATTGGTGAATATAAGCAGTTGGCTGAATACAGTCGGCCCGGATTAGTAGGTCGACCCTGCCAGATCAAGGGTACTCTTGTGTCCTGTGTGTTCACGACACATGCCTTCTACATTATCGTGGCAATGTGGCCCTCGGAAGGGTCTTGTGTCCTCTCGCGTGTCCTCTCCAATCAAGTCCGACTGTAAAACTTTTGAAGCGCGTGCAGACAGGCAGGTCTCATTGGGCATGCCAGCCCAACGGTTGGACACGTCTAGCCCGCCAGCACAAGGAGACGCACACGGCAAGGTGGCTCAGCATGTTGCACAACCGGTTCGTGCATGAGATGCAACCCTGCCTTGCCGGCAGCACTCGTCCGGGCCGCTGCTTCGGTGCTTTATGCCACCCGGCGCAGCAGATTCCTTGGTGCACACCCAAGACATAATGTGATAGCAATAAACCAACACAAGCGAAACAGTGTGGGAAGGCGGGCCACAGAAAGAGGCCCCAAACTGCGGCGCTGGAGACGTGTTCGTTCGCCCGCCCCCTCGGAGGCCGCGCAGACCAGAGCCCGGAGGCACCGGGGCAGGGGGTCGCGGCCAGGGCGGGGGCGGGTGCAGTCCGCGCTACGGCCGCTCCCCCTCCTCCTCCTTCTCCTCCACCGCCTCCTCCGCCTCCTCCGCCTCCTCCGCCTCCTCCTCCTGCTCCTCCTCCTCCTCCTCCTCCTCCTCCTCCCTCCTCCTCCTCCTCTCCTCCTCCTCCCCCCCCACCTCCTCCTCCTCCTCCTCCTCCTCCTCCTCCTCCTTCTCCTCTCCTCCTCCTCCTCCTCCTCCATCTCCACTAAGCTACTTTCGCTGGGAGCCTTCGTTACTATGCTCACGGACCCTTGGATCATCCTGGCCGATTGGAATATGACACCTGAGCAGCTCGCAGCGACAGAGTGGCTCGCCAAATGGAATGCTACCATCGTGCGAGCGCCTGGATCCGCCACGTGCGACAAGGGCCAGGGACTCACGCTTGATTTCGCATTGGTCAAGACTGGCATCGAGCACACGATCTCCATTCGCCAGTGCCCCACCGTACCCTGGGCCACCCATGTTGGCCTTGAAGTTCGAGCAGGCAGTGCAGACCCCTGGTGGTATCAGTCGATCCATACCCCCAGGGCATTCCCCACAGTGGACAGACCCAGGATCCCACCAGACCCCAACAGCAATACCGCCATCAAGAAACGTAAAACAGCAGAAGCTCGAGCAGCACGCCTACGCGATCTACCTCCTGAACTCCAACAAGCAGCAGCACAACTCCAGCCACAAGACGAGCCCGCAGCACAGGAACCTATCCCTTATGCTATCCCGATGGACCTGTGGGAAGAACAATGGCAGGAAGCGGTACCCACACGTTGTAAGCAGCCTCACGCGCACTTCGTGTACAGACACTGGGTGCACGACGCCGACGACCTCAACCTCAAGTACGCCAAATGGGTCACGGCGCTCGAGAACACCATGATCAGCCACCACCAGATCGACCCGAAGGAAGCCGCAGCATACACAGGCCGAGCCCAAGGCTACCAGTTGTCTTGGAAGAAGACGGCCGCCGCCCCAGGCCGCGTACGCGTACATGACCCTCAGTCGGAATGGTCGGCAATCACGCTCACCCTCATCAAGCGCTACGCTGCGCTTCACGACAAGCCCAAGCACACAGCGCTCATGCAGCAGCAGGCCTCCATCATCCAGCAGCGCGCGGACCACTTCAACACTCATTTTCACGACCTCCAGTTCGAGAAGGACGAGGACACCATCTTCCGCTGGTTTGCACTCGTCTGGGCCCCGCACTTGGACAAGGAGGACACCGACGACTTGGTCACTATTACCGCTACTTGGGCCTCCAGAGCGCTCTCCGCCGCCCTCGCCAAGTCCAAGAGGGCCTACGGTGCTTGGCTCGCCAAGCAATGGAAACACCGCCCTGGAGTACTACACGCCCATGTCAAGCCAGCGCCCGTACGTCACATCGAGGCCTACACGACCAACCTGACCATCGCGGACCCCACCGTTATCATGGACAACAAGAAGCAACAATGGCAACAAGTATGGCAAGCCACCGGGACCCCCGACGACATCCTACAGGCCCTGTCAAAGGCCAAGGCAGCAGCCGCCCGTCAACCGCTCGAGCCCATCACAGCCGAGATCGTACACCGCTTTCACGGCCGCATGCCACCCAGTAAAGCACATGGAGTTGACGCCCTAGGACCTCGCGACCTCCATCGACTACCAGAACCAGCAGTCGAAGCCTATGCAGATATCCTCAACGCAGTAGAGCAAGCAGGCATCTGGCCACTACAAATTTCAGGCACTATTGCAGCTCTCGCCGCCAAGAAGTCTGGAGGCGACAGGGTCCTCGGCATGCTACCTCATATGGCCAGACTTTGGTCTCGCATTAGATCGACTGCATCTGCATCCTGGGCCCAAGGTCTGGACGACTTTGGGACTACAGCCATCAAAGGCTCCTCAGCTCTCCAGGCCGCCCTACATAGGGCCTTGTTAGACGAGACAGCCTCAGCACTTGGCATACAATCGGCCACCTTGCTATTAGACATCCAGAAGTTCTACGACAATATCAAGCTCGCCAACCTCATTATGGTCGGCCTCAACTGCGGCTTTCCCCCCATCATTTTATTACTGGAAGTGCAGCTATACCTGGCGCCCAGATTCTTGCGCAGTCGACAATGGGTGAGTATGCCTATCTTCGCCTCCAAAGGCATCATTGCAGGATTTTACTACCTATTCTACGGCAAGCCCAAGCTCAGGCAGAGCTTGCCCAGATGTGGACCTTCGTAGATGACACTGTTCTTCGAGTCGAAGGAGTCCTACGCGCTCTACAGAAGCACCTCCCCCGCGCCGCCAAGACGCTCTGCGACGGTTTAAAGGAGTTCGAGCTGCCTATCTCAGACAAGACCGTCCTCATCGGCTGCACCCCCAAGGTCCGCCAATCGCTAGCCAAGCAGTTGCGGCAGTACGACATCCCAGTTACTGCGACCGCCACGGCCGTCGACCTCGGAGTTGACGCGGCTGCGGCTACCCGACGGGTACAAGCCAAAGCCAGGAAGCGACAGAGCTCAGCCACAGCTAGGTTTCGCAAGATACACCGACTACGGAGCACTGCACGGCAGGCCCGAATCTCAGCAGGACTGTGGCGCACTGGCGCCCTCCCAGAAGGAGTATTCGGACATCAGGTGCACGGCCTCGCTCGGCACGCTCTACTACGATGGCGGCGTCAGGCCGCCATTGCTGCCACGGGAGCAGCAGCGGGCCGATGCCTCACCTCCCTCCTCGGCGCCACCTCTGACGGCATGGACCCAGGAGTTTCCCTAAGGATCGAATTCATCGAGGCTTGGCTTCAGCACTGGATACGCCACCCGAGCACGCACGCCAGGATCATCAGAGCATGGCCAAGGATCAAGACCACCTTGCTCGCCGCAGGCCCCAAGCTGTGGTGCAAGGTCAAGGGGCCCACAGGCGCGGCCATCGCGACCCTGCTGGAGGCCAGTTGGGAGCCGACCTCAGCTACCACGTGGAGGCGTACGAAGGACGGCTACATCGAGGAGTGGAACCTCCCCCCTGCCGATGACCCTGACCTCCTCGACGCCGACATCCACGCAGCATTGCAGGACCTCAGCGAGGATTTACACAGGCTCCTCTGGACTCAGGCCGCTACGCATGACCATGGTGACACGCTGGCTGGAGGCGCAGACATGGTCACTATCCGCATAAAACAAAGGAGGCTCCTCGCAAACGGTGACTTCAGCGACTGGGCCCTCAACAACACCACCGTCAGCGGAGGACAATGGACCAGAGACCGCCTCCACAACGCGGGCTACCAGATCGACAAGAACTGCGACCGATGCAGCGCGGGAGTTCCTGAAACCTTGTTTCACCGAATGTGGCAGTGCGAGGCGAATGTGGGACCCGAGTTTGAGGCCAGTGACAAGTTACTACCGCGAGCCGTGGCGGGGGTCGATGCCGACCCCGCCTTGTGGCTCCGTGGCATTCCCTCTGTCGCTCTCACTACGCCCGCGTTCGAGCCATTGACTGGGAGGGACGGGTGGGAGTTTGTTGGTGCGGTGCGGGAGGGACTGCCGTCGTGGGAAGGAGCTCGTAACGCCGAGGGCGAGTTGTTTCTTTTTGGTGACGGGTCTGGCGGAGCCTTTTCCGACGACGTCAGGCGACGGCGTGTTGGTTCTGGCCTCGCGGCCCTCCGATGGGACCCCCCCTCGGCCTCCTGGACCCTCCACGCGGGCCTCCTTGCCCCCCTCCCAGGCCCCCGCCAGACCGTCCCAAGAGGCGAATTGCATGCGTTTTGCCTGGCACTTGAGACGTGCCAGCAGGATTTCACGTTTGTTACAGATCACCTAGCCCTGCAGCGCGGTTGGCAGAGTGGCAGATGTCTCAGACCTGGCAGCCTTAGAGGTAAGAATAAGAATGGGGATCTCTGGCTGAGAATTCGGCACCTCGTGCAGGATCGTTCTGGCGGCGGCTCTTCGGTCACGGTGCTCTGGGCCCCATCTCACGCCGACCCCCTGACTTTGCATGGTTTCCAAAAATTTCTTGCTCTCGGCAACCAGCAAGCCGACGAGCTCGCGGGAAGCGCGGCCCACAAGTCGGCCACCCTTGCCCCCCCGCCTGTCCCCAGGACCGATGAATATGACGCTATCGCAGCCATCGTCCGTCAGAGGGCACGACTGATCCTACGTTCCTTAGGCAAGAATTCAGAGCCTCGAGGACTGTGGCCAGAGAGGCAACCCACCCAGGAGGCAGCCCCTCGTTCTCTGTTGCAGACCGCGATCGCGGCTTCTCAGCACAAATTCGAGCGGTGTGCAGACAAATGGAGATGCCCTGCCTGCCTCATCATCGTTGACGCTTGCCACGTTATTCCAGCTGCCGCCACAGAGTGCGTGCCGCCTTGCCCCCTTCCCGAGTTTGCTGCGTGTGGCGAGGTGCTGTGGTCGAGGGGTCCCCGCGTGATCAGTGGCAAGGCGATTCACCCCTCCCACACGTTGGCCACCACCCCCAAGTGGCAAATGTTCTTCTGTGTGAAGTGCGGCCATACGGCCACGCACCAGGTTAAAAGCCTACTTTTGCCTTGCCCTCTCCCCCACCAAGTGGGAGAGCGCAGGGCCCTGGGACCCACTGGCAAAGGCCTCGAGAACCTCAGCAGGATCAGGCGAGGCCTCCACCCGTCCAGATCGGGCCCCAGCAAGTCAGTGCTAGAGGCTTTGCACGTTTCGGCAGCCGAAGCCGCGATCGGTTCCTACGCGGCGGGTGCTGCCTCCGAGTAAATTGCGAGGCCAGGGGGGGCCTGTCGCGGTGGGCCGTGGGATGTCGCCCCCCACGGCCCTCCGAGAAATATTGGATGGCCCCCCCTGGCATCTCTGGGTTCCGAACGGACTACGTCCGATTGCTCCACTCCACTCCTCCTCCATCTCCACCTGCTCCTCCACCTCCTCCTCCTCCTCCTGGCCCCCGCCCCGTCCTCGCAGGAGCGCGGCCGAGGAGGAGGAGGGCGACGCGGCGGGGGACGAGGTGGCCGACGAGGCCGTCAAGGACTCCATCCTCTTCAACTCCCGCTTCGCCGCCGGGCAGGCCGTTCGCCCAGCCCCGCGGGACGGGGGCCCCGAGTGACGGGGGTCCTCCTCCTCCTCCTCCTCCTCCTCCTCCTCCTCCTCCTCCTCCTCCTCCTCCTCTCTCCTCCTCCTTCTCAATTACTCAACATGAATACTACTCTCCCTCTTCCCCTGATGACGTGCTGGGAGTGTTCGCCCCCCCCCCCCCGTCCTGTTTTTTTACACACAGGTTTCCGGGGAGTTGGGTTTTCGCTTGCATTTGTTGTCAAAATGCTGCTCTTGCTGAGGCGCCGGCCTCATTTTCGGGCCCCGCTCGTTCCGAATCGTGCTCCCGCTTCAGCGCTGGCCTCATTTCCGCGCTTCCGCTCGTTCCGAATCGTGCTCCCGCTGCAGCGCTGGCCTCATTTCCGCGCTTCCGCTTGTTTCGACTCGTGCTCCCGCTGCAGCGCTGGCGTCATTTTCCGTGCCATGCCACGGCGGGCAATGCAATGCTAGGTTGATACTACGCTTAGCGGTGCTCTTCTACGCCATGCCATGCCGTGCTCTACAATGCATCGCGTACCCTTTCGGGATCATTGTCCTGCTCGACATCCGACTGTGCGAGTAGAGAGGGGATCTGCGCCATGGTAAGGGATGGGAGGGAGGGGTAGGATGTCAGATATGACGCGAGCGCACCTAGCTTGTCCTCCTCCTCCTCCTCCTCCTCCTCCTCCTCCTCCTCCTCCTCCTCCTCCTCCTCCTACGTTCCTCCTTCTCCTCCTCCTCCTCCTCCTCCTCCTCCTCCTCCTTCCCCCCCTCCTTCCCCCCCTCCTCCTCCTCCTCCTCCTGAGGACCGTGGCCCCGTCGACGCCGACGCGGATGCCGCCGCCGCCGTCGTCGTCGTCGTCGTCGTCGTCGTCGTCGTCGTCGTCGTCGTCGTCGATGTAGGTGCCTTCTCTTCCCCCGGTGGACGGGAAGACTCGCAGAAGCACTGGTGCACATCAGGAAACTCAGAGATCGTCGCTGGGCAGGCGGCCTCCATCTCCCCGCCTCCGCGTCGCCACGGCGAAAGAGGGGGAGGGGAAGAGGGCGCGCGACACGCCGCCATGGGGCGCGCGCCCGCGCCGCCGCGAGGGGAGGTCCACTCTTTGCCGAGATTTTTGTCGGTGCGCAGAGGTCCTTTTTATCGGCTGCGCCTCGCCGAGGTTAGAGGTTTTTTGAGCGTTTCCGTTGTATCTCGGCGGGTTTCGCGCCTCGGACTGCCTTCCAGCAGCTGCGCCTCGCCGAGGGCGTCCCAGGGCTGCCTGGATCGTCCCGAACGGCCGTCAGAGGCCAGAGTTGTGGCCCGAAGCCCACGAGGGACAACGTTAGGGGGGGATGGGCTCAGGGTGGGTCGCATCGACCCTGAATCGCCCGTCGATTGGGCTAGGGGCCCTGTAGCCCACCCAGCACAACGGGGGCCTATTGGCGATGTATCGCCGATTCCAGGTCGATGTTTCCCCCCTGGGCTGGTCCTCTGCAACCGTTGCCACCTGGAGGGGAAGGAGTGGTCCTGGCTTGGGCGCGAATCCATGGATGGGGGGGCTATGAGCGCGGGGGGGCAGAGGCGTGCCCCTTTCTGGTCCTGCAGGGCCCCTTCTGGGCCCCAGAGGGCCCCTTTCTGCGGCCCTCGCTGCCCAGGGATCCGATGCAGTGTTTTTTCCATGCGGGGCCCCCGGACGTCTCGACCTATTCCCCAGCACCGGTGTCTCCTCCCGAGTGGCTTTTTGACGGTCCCGGGGCCCGGCGAGGGCCGCTAGCTTGCCAAACAAATCTGTCTTGATTTGTTCAACGCGTTGGATCTAGGAGCGCCTGGGAGCGCCCGGGGGCGTTTGGAAGCGCCTGGGAGCGCCTGGCAGCGCCTCGGAGCACCTGGGATCGCCTGGGAGCGCTTGGGAGCGCTCGGGAGCACCTGGGAGCGCCTGGGAGCGCCTGGGAGCGCCTGGGTGCCCCCCCCTGGCATCGCCCCCCCCAAAATGCGCTCCCTCCGCCTGGAGGCCGAGGGGTCCTGCAGTCTCTCCTGGCACCTCCTGCTCCGGCCTCCTGCCCAGAGCCGGCGCCGCCGAGCCTCCTCCTCCTCCTCCTCCTCCTCGTCCTCCTCCTCCTCCTCCTCCTCCTCCTCCTCCTCCTCCTCCTCCTCTCTCCTCCTCCTCCTCCTCCTCCATCCTCCTCCTCCTCCTCCTCCTCCTCCCTCCATCCTCCTCCTCCTCCTCCTCCTCCTCCTCCTCCTCCTCCTCCTCCGCCTCCTCCTCCTGGGGAAGCGAATGGGCACGCTGGCCAATTCGCTTCTCGGTGCACCCGTTTAGCTCTAGCGCTGGCGCAGCCAACTCTGCCTCGCCGCCGACGGAAACGTGTCACCGAGCGTTCTCCACTTACTCGCAAAATGCCTACTCGCAAATGTTAAATTATCCCAGTGCGACCCTACCTAGGAGTTCGAGCATATAGGAAAGCAACATCTACATCTACACCGACAGCTATATGAACATCTACACCTGCATCTACATCTACATCAACATCAGCAGCAATACTCACATCTACATCTACATCCACAACTACGTCTACACCTACACCTACATATACATCTACATCTACACCTACATACACATCTACACCTACATCTACATCTGCAATGTCGCATTGGTGTTGATGTTGCTTTGTATGCTATGATATGATATGCTACGCTATGCTATGATATGATTGGCTATGCTATGCTATGCTATGATTGGCTATGCTATGCTATGCGATGCTATGATGTGGTGTGCTAATGCTGCGCTGCGCTATGCTGCGCTAAGCTAAGCTAAGGTAAGCTAAGCTATGCTTCGCTATGCTATGCTATGATATGCTATGCTGCGCTATGCAATGCTATGATATGCTGCGCTATGCTATGATATGTTATGATATGTTATGCTGTGCTATGCTATGCTATGCTGCGCTATGCCACGTTATGCTGTGTTGTGCTGTGCTACGATATGCAATGCTGCGCTGTGCTATGCTAAGCAATGCTGTGCTATGATATGATGTGTTATGCTTGTCTATGCTATGCTATGCTTTGCTATGCTATGCTTGGCTGCGCTGTGCTGTGCTGTGCTATTGCTATGCTTGGATATGCTATGCTATGCTATGCTGTGCTAATGCTGCGCTGCGCTATGCTGCGTTGCGCTAAGCTAAGCTAAGGTCAGCTAAGCTATGCGAAGCTAAGCTAAGCTAAGCCAAGTTAGCCAAGTTAAGCTCAGCTAAGCTAAGCTAAGCTAAGCTAAGCTAAGCTAAGCTAAGCCTAGCTAAGCTAGGCTAGGCTAGGCTAAGCAAAGCTAGGCCAAGCCAAGCCAAGCTAAGCTAAGCTAAGCTAAGCCAAGCCAAGCTAAGCTCGGCCAAGCTAAGCTAAGCCTAGCTAAGCTAAGCTAAGCTAAGCTAGGCAAAGCGGGGGATGCCGGGGGAACCGCGGGGCGGATCCTGGGGGAACCGCCCGGGGCGTTTTGCACTGCCCGGCCCTTTAAGCAAACACTGAGAACCCTCCCAGGCAGAGCCTAGGTAGGGAAAAACATGTGCCGCCCCGATAGAATACATCGGAAATCCCCCGCGGCGGATCGAGGCCGTTTGTGAGTGGTTACTTTGCGGGCAGTGGGGCGCGCTTGTCTAATGTGGAGAGCCCCCCCCCGGAGTCCCAGGACCCGCTCCACCCCGGGACCCCGTTTCGCGGGGCAGGTGCCCAGACATCGGCGCTCGGGTCTGTTTCGATGCATGGGCCCCCGGAGGTCTGGGCCATTTCCCTGGAGATAACCCCATGCCCCCGATAATAAACCCTAAGGGATAATAAAGTTCGGGGTTTTCGGGGGGATAATAAAAGTTGCCCGCCAGAGCCAGCATAAAGAGATATCAAGCTGCCAGAGAGAGAGAGAGAAGGACATCCAATGAACATGCATATATATATATATATATAAGGAAAAGAAGAAGAGCAGGGGGAGCAGGAGGAGGAGAGAAGAGCGGAGAAGGAAGAAGCGAAAATCCAAAATTCAAACGTATTAGATTTCATGTGTAAACGCTTAATGGAAATTAAGGTTTCCATCTGCTCGCTCTGCCTAGTTCCCCCAGGATAATCAACCACAGCGATGACAAGTTCAGGGGGCAGGGAGACAAGAAGAAAAAGAAATAGAACGAGAGAGAGATAAAGAAAGAAGAAAAGAAATAGCAGAAGGATGAGAACGAGGAATAGCAGGGGAAGCAGAGGAAGAGGAGGAAGCAAAAATCCAAAGTTCACAACTTATTAGATTTAATTTGTAAGCGCTTAAGGAACATTAAAATTGTCATCTGCTCGTGTAGGGTAGCTCATGTGCTTAGTTTTCCCATGATAATCAACCCCAGCGATAAACAAGTTCAGGGGGGCAGGGAGACAAGAAGAAAAAGAAATAGAAAGAGAGAGATAAAGAAATAAGAAAAGAAATATGAGAATGATGAGATGGAGGAAGAGCACGAGAAGCATCAGAAGGAAGTAACCTCGATGGCGAACTTTCCCAGTGATAATGAAGTTCGGCCTCCCCGCCCCCGCGCCCCCGACCAAACTCTTATTGGTCGACGATAAAAAACTCTAACGACTGAAGGGGGGGGTACATTATTATCGTGGGCATGGGGTTATGCTTGTTTCATCCCGAGTCCTCTTTCGACGGACCCGGGGCCCAGTGAGTGCCCCTGGAGGCCGAAAATGGCAAAAACAAAAAACGATCGCTCCAAATGTTCGGAGCCTCGGCTCTCTGGATATGCGAAACACAAATCACCTCGGGCCAATTATGGGCTCCAGCGTTCGCTACACGCTCGCGCGCGCGCGCTGAAGGCTGCGCCTTGGGGTGGTCGCTGGTCTTCGTCGCCAGCTCGCGCGCCGGAGGGTCGCCTGCTCCGCTCGCTGCCCATGCGTCGTGGGCTCTGGGTGCCACCCTCTGCATCCTAGAGGTCCGAGGCTCCGTACCGTTGGAGCGGCCGGTTTTGGGCCGCTTTCGGTCTCCGGGGGCGCCAGAGCGGTCCCCGGGACCGCCAGAGGATTCGGGACGAGAAACCCGCCCTCTGGTCCAGATTTCCGGGGGTCCATGCATCGAGAACAGTGGAGCGTTGGATCTCTGTGGCAGGAACGTTTGTAGCGCGTCGCGCCGCCAATTCGGGCCCACCACGCTTCGGCTGCGCGTGAACTGTGACTCTCCGCCTGGAGTGACTGAGGCGTCGGCCAACAGGGCTCCATCCAGCAATCTCTAGCGGGCCTGGATGCGGCTTCCCCGCAGCCCCCTGAAGCCGCGCACCAAAGGTCACTCAACCACGTCCCGATCCCCAGTCGTCCATGTCCCGAGCTTGTCCGAGCCCCCTGCCCCGCAGAGCGGCGGAGCGACACCAGGGCTCGGCGTTTCTTTTCATGGATGGTCGATGGTTCCGCACACAGTGGAGCCGACGTAGGAGCGGCTCGCAGGGTCCGAGGGCCTGGGAGCGTCGTGCTGCCACCCTCCTCCGGGGCCCCACGTTCCTTTTCATGGATGTTCGATGGTTCCCAAGCAGGGCTATGTATGTCGTCTGTCCAGAACTTGCGGCCACTTGGCGCAGACCTGTTCTAGCGCGGCCAATGTTTGCGCCTGCGGGTTGCACCATGGGCTGCGACCACGCGTCGAAGACAATTCGGTGCTGCCGCATTGCTCGCCGCTGCATTGATTCACGCTCGTTGACATTTATTTGCATTGCCCTGCACTGCTGCGAAATGCATCGCCTTGTTGGTTGCTTTGCTTTGCACGTGTCTTGCTTTGAACCACTTGCGTTGCATTACATTGCCCAATATAACTTACGTTCGATCTCTCGTTGGGGCCACGCTGGAATCATGTGTTTCGTCTGGTTGCCTCTTTCGAGAGGTGGTACAGCACACCGCCCCGATTCTTGATTCATCGCTTCACAAGTTCGCACGACAGCTTCGCCCCCAGGATCCGTCACGTCTGGCTCACATTCTGGTGATTAGGGAGGAAAGGACGCAGAGGTAAGGTAGAGTGAGTTGAGTGAGGGGAGGGGAGCAGAGAGAGAGAGAGAGGGAGGATGCTCAGCAGCAGCCAGAGGAGAGGGGAGATGAGGAAGCGAGGGGGGAACGAAGGGAGGAGGGCAGGGAGGGCGGCGGAGGCAAAAGGAGAAAGGGAAGGGCGAGGAGGACGAGGGCGAGGACGATGACGAGGAGCAGCAGCAGCACAGCACCACGACGGCCAAGAGGGCCGGAGGCCCGCCTGCTGGCCGCGGCCGCGCGGCCCAGGTGTTCTCCCCCGAGCTCTTCGGGACGATGCTCGGGCGACCCGGGCCCGGCGCGGGCTCTGCGTCGCGGGGGGGGGGGGAGGGGAAGGAGGGGGAGGGGGAGGGTGAGGGGGGGTAGGAGGGGGAGGAGGAGGAGGAGGAGGAGGAGGGGAGGAGGGAGGAGGAGGAGGAGGAGGAGGAGGAGGCTCCCTCCCCTGCGCGCGGCGCGGGCCGGGCGCCGATGCGAGGACCTCCGAGGAGGGGGGGCCTGCGGAGGGGGCGTGCTCACGCGGGCCGGCCTGGTCTCCACGGGGCCCTGCGCTCCTCTTCCTCGCCCTGCCCCTCCTCCTCCTCCTCCGCCTCCTCCCTCTTCGCTCCGGATGGATCGTCCAAGGACGGTGTGCCTCCTCCCTCCCCGTCCTCGATGAGGAGGAGGGGCCCCCTCCTCCTCATCGAGGCGTCAATGATGAAATTCGGCTTCGCGGTGTCATTGCCGAGGCTGTGAACTATTTTTAGATCATTTTTTATAGGGACCTCCGAAGCGACACATGGACTCTTTTTAGACTCTTTGAGGCGGGCGCTTTAATTTTCTAGGCCCCCCCAGCTCTGGGAGGCATCGTGGGACATAAGGAGGGGGCCAGCTGACCAGGGCTGGGCCGGGCTGGCTGACTCACTGGACTGGCTGACTCATCATCGTTCCCAGATGCTCCAAAGGGGTAGCCTGGGGGGGGGGGGGGGGGGGGTCATGGGACAGCTGGTGGGACGGGTGTGGGCGGTCCACCCAAAGGCACCCCCGGAGTGCAGTCCTCCCGTCGGCCGTGGGCCCGGGTTGATTCTTCGGAGGTGCGACCGACTGGCTGCACAGATTGGGCCGGATCGGATCCTGAGGAGGGGCGGACCGAGACCACCTCCACCGAGAGCTCGTGTGGGGGGATGCTGGGGGATGGACCCCTGGGCGGTGGCACGCCCGCACGGCTTCTGCAGATTGCAGCAGGCTGTCCCGCGCTCTCGCGTTGGTGCTCGCCGAGGGGTGGGCGGACCTCGGGGGCGTGAAGGTTCTCACTGCGCGATTCTCGCTCCCCCACCTGTCCCTCCACTTCCCCCCTCGCGCTTCGCGCACCTCGTCGCCTCTTGCTACTTCGGCCGCCTCGATTCGACTCGATCTCGATATCCCGTCGATCCGGCGCGGTCCGATGCTTGCATGGCGCTGCTGCGTGCCGTCACGTAGCCCGATCCAACGCAGTCTCCGATCCGATCCGAGTTCGCGATTCGGTGCTGATCAATCGTGCTGTCCTTCTTTTCTCCCCCTCCGCCTCCCACCCGGGGCCGCCCTCCAGCCTGCAAGCGTCCGACTCCCCGCTCCCACCTCCACCCGCTGAGCTCCAGACTGCACCACTCCGACGTCCAGCCTCCAGCATCCCACTTCCCGCACCATCTCCACATCAACCGCCAGTCGCCCAGGACGAGTTCCGGTGGCTCTGCCCCCCCCCCCCCCCGTATTGCCCTCCCAGGGCCGGTCCCGCCAGTCGGGGGCGGCCAAGAGGGGGGTGATGGCTAGGCGGGGGTGGATATCGTGGTGGGGTCCATGAGATCTCCCCAGATTTCATGGCGCCTCTTCTTACTTCAATGCGTCCCTGGCCCACCCCCTGGGCCGCGCTCATGCCGCAGGCCATGATATGCGCCCCCCCCCTCTTGGGTGACCCCCTCTTGGCCGCCCCCGAGCTTCGCTTCGTTCCGCCTCCCCCACGGGCGTCGGAGATAGCGCGCGCCTCTCGCAGCGAGAGTTGCGCGGGCCTGGGCCCGCACCGGCCGCGCGTAAACACGCCCTGCGCCGCCGCGGCTCAGGCGAATGTACTACATGCCCGCCATCATAGAGCTCGTGGAGGCGCCATGGCCCGTCGGAAGAGACACGGCGAGGACGGAGAGGAGAAGGAGGAGGAGAAGGAGGAGGAGGAGGAGGAGAGGGAGGAGGAAGCGGAGGACGACGCTGAGGAGGAGGATGAGGAGGAGCCGAGAGTAGAGGGGAGGGACCAGGACGGAGGAGGAGAAGGAGGGAGGAGCAGGAGGGAGGCCCCGAACGAGGATTGGGCGCGCCGCAGCCACGCGCGAGGAGGGATGAGGAGTATGAGGACAGAGGTGGAGAAGGAGGGAGGGATGAGGGATGAGGGAGGGGGGAGGAGGGAGGAGGGAGGAGGGAGGAGGGAGGGGGAGGAGGGAGGAGGGAAGAAAGGAAGAAGGGAGGGAGGGAGGGAGGGAGGAGAAGAGTAGGAGGCGGAGGACGAGGCGGAGGAGGAGGAGGAGGAGCAGGAGGAGGAGGAGGCAAGAGGAGGAGGCAACAGGAGAGAGGAGGGAGGAGGAGGAGGAGGAGGAGGAGGAGGAGGAGGAGGAGACGGGGGCAGGAGGGAGGGGGGAGGAGAGAGGCCCTGAAGAAGGACTCGGCGCGCCGCCGCCACGCGTGATGATGATGCTGCTGCTGCTGATGATGATGATGATGATGATGATGATGATGATGATGGTGGTGATGATGATGCTGCTGCTGATGATGATGATGCTTGATGATGATGACGACGATGCTTATGATGATGATGATGAAGCTGATGATGATGATGATGATGATGCTGATGCTGATGCTGATGCTGATGCTGATGATGCTGATGATGATGATGATGATGTTGATGATGATGCTGGTGATGATGATGAGGATGAGGATGAGGATGGGGATGAGGATGAGGATGATGATGATGATGATGATGGTGGTGATGATGATGATGATGCAGCTGCTGCTGATGAGGATGATGCTTGATGATGATGACGACGATGCTTATGATGATGATGAAGCTGATGAGGATGATGAGGATGATGATGCTGATGCTGATGCTGATGATGTTGATGATGATAATGATGATGATGATGTTGATGATGATGATGAGGATGAGGATGAGGATGGGGATGAGGATGATGATGATGATGGTGGTGATGATGATGCTGCTGCTGATGATGATGATGCTTGATGATGATGACGACGATGCTTATGATGATGATGAAGCTGATGAGGATGATGAGGATGATGATGCTGATGCTGATGCTGATGCTGATGATGCTGATGATGATGCTGCTGATGATGATGTTGATGATGATGCTGATGATGATGATGAGGATGAGGATGAGGATGGGGATGAGGATGAGGATGATGATGATGATGGTGGTGATGATGATGATGATGATGATGCTGCTGCTGATGATGATGATGATGCTTGATGATGGTGACGACGATGCTTATGATGATGATGAAGCTGATGAGGATGATGAGGATGATGATGCTGATGCTGATGATGTTGATGATGATAATGATGATGCTGATGATGATGTTGATGATGATGATGTTGATGTTGATGGTGATGATGATGATGAGGATGATGGATGAGGATGGGGATGAGGATGAGGATGATGATGATGATGATGGTGATGATGATGATGATGCTGCTGCTGCTGATGATGCTTGATGATGATGACGACGATGATTATGATGATGATGAAGCTGATAAGGATGATGAGGATGATGATGTTGATGTTGTTGCTGATGCTGATGATGCTGATGCTGATGATGTTGATGATGATGATGTTGATGATGATGCTGATGATGAGGATGAGGATGAGGATGGGGATGAGGATGAGGATGATGATGATGATGATGGTGGTGATGATGATGATGCTGCTGCTGATGATGATGATGCTTGGTGATGATGACGACGATGCTTATGATGATTATGCAGTTGATGAGGATGATGAGGATGATGATCCTGATGCTGATGCTGATGCTGATGCTGATGATGCTGATGCTGATGATGATGTTGATGATGATGATGTTGGTGTTGATGCTGACGATGATGATGAGGATGAGGATGAGGATGGGGATGAGGATGAGGATGATGATGATGGTGGTGATGATGATGATGATGCTGATGCTGCTGATGATGATGATGCTTGTTGATGATGGCGACGATGCTTATGATGATGAAGCTGATGAGGATGATGAGGATGATGATGCTGATGCTGATGCTGATGCTGATGATGCTGATGCTGATGAGGATGTTGATGATGCTGATGATGTTGATGATGATGCTGATGAGGATGAGGATGAGGATGGGGATGAGGATGATGCTGATGATGATGATAATGATGATGGTGGTGGTGATGATGATGATGATGCTGCTGCTGATGATGATGCTTGATGATGATGACGACGATGCCTATGATGATGATGAAGTTGATGAGGATGATGAGGATGATGATGCTGATGCTGATGCTGATGCTGATGGTGCTGATGCTGATGATGATGCTGATGATGATGATGATGATGTTGATGATGATGCTGATGATGATGATGAGGATGAGGGTGAGGAT